TAATTGTTCTAACTGTCAGGAAATTTCTCCTCAGTTCTAAGTTGCTTCTCTCCTTAATTAGTTTCCACCCATTGCTTCTTGTTCTGCCCTCAGGTAACCTTCATCTTAGTCTCAGATTCCAGACATGTTTACAAGAATCCCCAAATAGAAGATTTGGGGACTGGAAGTTTTGGGCATTGAAAAAGAGAAACTAATTAAAACAGAGATTCTTGGTGAAATGCCATCTCATTCCACCTTTTTGAGCAATGTTCTTCCTGAGGCACAGAAATTATGTCCTTGCGGGGGAGTCTAATGCTGAATTCATCTATCCTTGTTAGCCATTTTCTCTGTCCTTTGCTGATTCAGGCTGAAGAAGCCATGGCAACATACCGGACCTGCATCGCAGATGCCAACACCCAGAAGCAGGAGTTGGAGGACACCAAAGTGACAGCACTTCGGCAACTCCATGAGGTGGTCAAACAGAGCGACCAGGTCATAAAGTCGGTGAGTTTGGCTGGGCCATCCCACCAAGGGGGTTCAGCCCTTTGGTCCTTAAGAAGAAGCTGAAAGCAAGCTCACTCTGATCCATGTTCTTTGAAGGATACTGTCAACTCTGAAGCGAACCTAGCTGAGGCCATTTTGGAGGCTTCAGGGTTGCCACGATGCGAAGAAGGGATAGAGAGGGGGAACATAGTTAGATTGGGGGGGGGGGCATTGTAGCCAAAACAAAATAGTTTCCTGTGGGAACCAAAGGCTGGAGAAAGGAGGGGTGAAGTAAACCAGGCAACTGGCCAGCACCTTGATTGGACAATGTGACTGATTGTTTGGGGGAAGAGGGAGTTTTCACTTTTTAATCAGGTGAAAACCGTGGGAAATTTCAGAGTCAGTTTTCACCAGTTTGTGCCGATGTGATATCTCCAATAAAACTGTTCGTTGAGGAATCTGGCTGCCTCGGAGTTCTGCTTTCTACGTGGCTATTACTTGGAAACCTGACAGACACGTTTGTTGTCATCAGAACTAGAAACTTAGTTTGTGTCCAGGTGGGAGCTAAGATTGTCACAAAGGTTTTTGTGCAGAATTCTGGTAATGGGTTTTTGTGGGTTTTGGTCTTGTGACGCCCACACTGGAAAAGTTTTATTCATATTAATGACTGATAATATATAAGTTGGGGTTGACTCTTAGGTTCCACCACAAATGCGCGCACAACAAAAGCGCGCCTAACTAAACCGCGGTGACTAAAGCGGGGTGACAAAACCACGTGACGAATGAGCGACTAATTAGCCCTAAAGCGCGCTGACAGAAGCGCGCTGTAACGGAACCCTAAACCTAACCCTAAACCTAACCCTAAACCTAACCCTAAACCTAAACCTAACCCTAAACCTAA